TTTGTGTCATGGAAAAATTTTCTTTCCCTTTCAACTATAATAGACAGTTTTGTTGGGTAGAGTATTCTGGGTTGGCATCTGTGATCATTTAGAACTGGGAATACTTTGGTCCAGTCTCTTCTGGCTTTCATAGTTTGCATTGAAAAGCTCACAGTGTTCTCTGTAGGACTGATTGGGTGGACATGAATTTTTTCAGCCTATTTGTGTCATGGAAAAATTTTCTTTCCCTTTCAACTATAATAGACAGTTTTGTTGGGTAGAGTATTCTGGGTTGGCATCTGTGATCATTTAGAACTGGGAATACTTTGGTCCAGTCTCTTCTGGCTTTCATAGTTTGCATTGAAAAGCTAACAGTAATTCTGATGGGTTTTCTTTTATATGCGACTTGTTTTTCTTTCAGTATTCAGTCTTCTGTCTTTGTTCCGTACATTTAGTGTTTTTACTATGCTATGCAATAGGGAGTTTCTTTTCTGTTTCTATTTGGTGTTCTATGTGCTTCTTGTATCTGTTTGGGTATGCCTTTCCTTAATTTATGGAAATTTCCTTCTATAATCCTGTTGAAGGTCTGGACAATGTCATTTGCCTGGGATTCTTCTTCCTCTTTGCCTATGATATGTAAATTTGGTCTTTTCATGGTGTTCCACATTTCCTGCACATTCCATTTCTGTGTTTTAATTTTTTCATATTCTTTTTTTGAGCAGTCCATCCAGTTCTTCAACTGTGTTGTCCAATCTTGATATTCTGTTTTCCATTTCATTTGTTCTGTTGGTGAGGTTTTCTTCTGTCATTTCTAATTGGCTTATTGAATTTTTTCACTTCCTTCTTCATTTCAGCCTGAGTTTTCTTCAATATTTTTATCTCTTCTGAATTCATTCAGAAGTTTATCCCTAACTTCCTTCAGTTCTTTGATTTCTTTGTGTGTTCTTTAAATTTACTGAATTCTTTTATCATGTTTATAATTGTTCTTTTGAGTTCCATGTCCTGGGTTATCTCTAGGGGGTTCTCC